TTTTTTTCTCATCTGCTTTGCCCTAAAGACCAGGTAATGGACAGCTAGCTACTTTCTTCTATTAGTCAGAGGTCTGTTCTTTGCCCATCATCTATATCAACACTGCTATCTACATACTCAGACCAAAACTCTAGGTAGGGAAGATCAAATGCATTAGAAAAAGGGGCAGCAATGGACTACTGGCAGAAGCCTTTGAAAGACAAAAATTATATAGCATCCTAAAGGCAACTAGAGGCTTAAGTTCAGTACATGATCTTTCAGAATAAAATCTTGGCATGCTTTAACATGGTACTACTGTCTTTGTAAACAGTACAATGAAGCAATGAGCCCTGGGCTTATTGGCAGTGAAGATAAAGAAAGGTTGAAAATGAAAGAGAGACAAATATTTATCAAACAAATGCAAACAAAATGAAAACAGGAACGGAAATTTTAATTCCAGACAAAGTAGATTTCAACGCCAAAAGCAGAAGAAGCAAAATGTTTGGCAGGAGGTAGGGGCTTAACAAAGACCAAACGGCCCTAAGAAGTCACACACTTAATTATGAAACATCAAATTAGAGAGTGCAAACACTGCTGGAAAGTCAAGGAAAAACAGAAAGAAGAGCAGTTGTTTGGAAGGTTTGTACTAACTTCTCACCTAATATGAAACAAGCAGAGAGAGAAAACCAGACAAGCTGAAGGGAAAGTCCAAGGGCTGCAGAGAGATAAACAGTCAAGACTTTCAATGTTGTCATCAATGTCAAACCATATCTTTGGAAGTGGAATGGTATATTTTATTTCCAAAAGTTTAGCACTGGGGATCTTCTAAATAATTGGCCATATAGGATCAGAGGGGTGTAATCAAATTTTCTACTAAATCCATGCTACTAGAAGAACAAATGCCCCACTCTAGGAGAAGTACCATGCTCAACAGCAATTCACCTTGTGAATTTCCAAAGTCCTGATGTCCAACATTTTAATCACATAGATAGCCAAACCCTTTCACATGAACAAAGGTTTTGTTTCCCAAAGTCATTGATGCAGTCTGAAGACTGCTGGGGTTCATCTGATTCCCATGCATGTGACAGGCTACCTGGGACATTTTTCTAAAGTAAATAGAGCTGGGAAGCATAGGAGAACAAGAATGGTCTGAGTGCTTACTGAAAGTGCATGCCCCCCCCCCCAAAAGAGGGCTATAGCTAATGGATTCCCAATCAGGAGAGTAATATATAAGACTCAAAATTGGGGCAGTCATCATAAGGTGAAATGAGACTAAGAGACATCAAACCAACAGGTGCTCCATCCCCCACCCATGCATCTTCCTTTCTTCCTTGTTACCCTTCTCAACCTTTGCATTGTCTAAAACATTCCCAATACTTTAATCCTTCATTGTGTTTACACTAAATTTTACCACAAACCAAAATCATGTAGACAGCTTTATAGTGAATCTTTTTTCAAAAAAAACCATGAATGCCTAATAGGTATAACATCCTTAACATGCTCCAACCCTAAGATCTCAGGGTCTTTACCCTGCTTTGTCTATGACCTTGACCTCTACTCTAAATAAATAGTACTACTGTTCACCTAGCAAAAACAAACAAACAAACAAAAAACCCAAAGTGGTCTGTATGTCTTCATTTCAAATACTCATTCTTCTGCCTCCACCTTCTCACAGCTGGGATTTCATGCTTGTGCTACTATGCCCTGTATATACCATACTAGGGATAAATGTAGTCTGATTGATGTTAGGTCATCACTATACTGGGTAGACCATACTCCCCATTCACCCTCTTGTTGATTCTTTAAGAACATAACAAGTACATGCTTTGCTTTCCACTGATGTTTCTTAATTTTAGTCCACTATACTTTTTGCAATTAGAGTCTCAGTGCTAAACGTGGGCTTTCATTTTGATAAGAGGGGTTTTGTTTATGCTTTTGTTTTTCTATACTGTTGGTATTTCAGCGGGATGCAGAGTTAAAAAATTACTTTGTATAAAGAAAAATACTAAATGTCACCATGGAGCCATATTTTGGATTTTTCTGTTAACTGAGATTCTATATATCAATCGAGTTGAATGAAGTTATAGTGTTATAGCAGAGATGGGTTATGGGTCATCAATAGTTGAATACAAAATGGATAACACATATTGCTAGGCATCTGTCAGCTCTCCATTATCATCAGTGTAAGTATTAATGGAATTTGGGTCATAATGGGTAAGAAGGAGTTATCCAGGAATTCATTTCATGATACTTAGAATTTGAGGGTTTCATGCTATGGGGTATCTACACATACAGCAATGATTGATGTAGTACTGCTACCAAAGACTTCTATTTTATGAGTGCATAAGAATTCACATTTAAAATATATTCATGATAAGAATACATGAGACTTTTTACGTTTCCTGCGTATAAAAATTTACTATATTGTACTGGCTGCAAAGGAAAGCCAATTTTCATGGCTCCTGTCAGTCACATGTGGTTTGGAAATGTTTATACATTCCAGATGTACTCAGTGTAAACTGGAGAATCATATCCTATTTCTACTGGCTTGCACGCATGCATATAAAAATTGTTTTTCTCACAGTGCCACATGAAAATACATGAAGAATGAGCTTCAGTGATCACAATGAATTAACTTCCTTCTTGAACTTTCACAGCTCTGATGCTGAGGGCAGTTCTGGTCCGTCATGTTTACATAGGCTGGAACTTCTGCTTTGTTGCCTTTCTTGTTCAATTCTGTTCCATAGAACATTAAAAACAACTGCTGTGTAACGTAAGTTTCTCATACCTATTATGTATCAGGCCCTCTACTAGGGACTAGAAAATACTGAGCAGGACTTCCACTGCAGGGAACCCAGAGTTCAATGTGAAAGGACACTCAGTAAACAAATTATTACCACACACTGTGGTGATCACTTTGGTACAGCTTGTATTATATATTATGACATGTGAAAACAATGAAGAAGTTTGACAAAGCTTCCTGGGATGGGTGTCCTGATGATCAAGCTTGAGATGACAAGGACTGGACAGCATTCAAAAGAGTAGAAATATTATGTGCATGGACTCATTGAGAACACATGATTCAAGGACCTGAAGGAAATGGTATGTGGCTTAAGGCCAGATATAGAGCCAATACAGAAAACAATCTGAAAATACATGAAGAAGAGGTGATTATGAAGAAAAGCTACATTTTAATAATATGCATTTTGTGTTCGGGTTTGAAGGTATCGTCTAACTAAGAAAACATAAAAATCATGGGTGAACTAGCTCATGATACAATGTGCAATATCCAGACTGTCTCTCACTGTGGTTTGCTTCCTCACACTTAGCACAATCTAGTTAAAGCTAAATTAATACAAGTCACAATTGCTGCAAGAAGTACATAGCCTCTCAGATGTCCCTGTTCCCTGATTAGCAGCTAAGACTTGCTGACTAAATTTTACTGGATAAAGATGTTAGAAATAGTGGGCTACGATTCCCATTAGGTTATAAAAAATGATGTGGCTTCCCTATTGGGAAATTTCTGAAGTATTCAACATCTCTGGGCCTCTTTTTCTCTTGAATCATTAGTTATCATGTCTAAGATATTCAGTTTATGGAGAGCTTAACATGAAACAAACAGAGTAGCACATGAGATTTCACACTGTTCATATCAACTGGTGATATATCCTCTGAGGTCACCAGTCACCACAGTAATGGACTTTGGAGTGAATTTCCCAACTTCCTTTGAATCTTTGGGTAACTGCAGCCTTGGCTAACAGCTCATTTGCACTCTCACAAGAGAGCCTAAGCCTTTAGCACCTCTCTGAGGTACATCTAGATTTATTACCCCCCAGAAACCATGTCATATCAAAATGTTGAATCACTAAAACCGCTAAAAACCATTAGATTACATTCCTAATGGTAGCCCACAAGATCCATTCCCTTATTTGGCCATTGACTCATTCCTGAGACAAAGCATCCAGGTCCAACAACCAAATTTCATTATTTGGCTAACATGTCCAATGAGGATTTCCTAGCTCACTCTAGCACAGGCTCTCCCTTTTCTCCTTAAAAACCCACTCCTGGCTTGGAAAAACAAAACAACAACAACAACAAAAACTGTGCTGCTTCTGCTTGCTGTTGGCCTTCACATTCCCCCCACCCTGTTGCACTCCACACCGCAGTGTAATATATCTCCCATGTATTGAGAACTTGGTGTCTGGGTGTCTTTACAGAATCCTGTACAGATTCTGGGAGACTAACCTCCCTTATAGGTACTATATGAGATGATGATGGAACCCTTGCTTTTGTGATTAGGTTCTAGGTCACCTAGCAGGTGGGCCCACCTCCCTCTCTGAGGAGGCACATCTGTTATCCTTTGGTAGCACTAATCTATTAGACCATTGATATGTCATTCTACAGCACAGATGGTTTAATTCAAAGTGTTCCCCCTCAAAAAATAGGAATACCGTGAAGCATAACCCTTCTTCTAGCTGCTGTAAAGAATCCAGGGACCCTAGATGATGAAAATCACAAATGTCCACAGAAACACATGTAGCTAATATATTCCCAATGTGCATATGTGACCCTAAATTATTTTATCTGACATGCAACCTTAGTAAGTAGTTCTTAAACTTGTTGTATACATTGTCCAGGTGGGGAAAAGTGGATAAATATAGATTGCTTAGGGAACGTTGAGTTTTTGGCACAAAACTTTAGGCAGTTTATATAACAATGTTGACATAAAGTCAATTACTTTATATGTAAAAAAGATGTTAAGACTTTTGCAAAGATGGTATTTACCAAAAAAAAAAAAAAAAAAATTATACTCAACTAAGGAAAGAAAAATGTATTTGAAAAACCCAAATTTGACTTCTATGTTTTTCTTTGCTTGATTCTCAAGACTTTTTGGTAGTTCTTAAATCTATCTTTTCAGTTAATGATTAAGCAAGCAACTACTGTATAACACTCAGCCTAAATAGAAGCAGTATGCCATAGTCACGATAGAAATGAAAGAAAGTGGCAAGTTAGCTTTGTACCTCTGTCCCTGATGATTTTGCTCTGGGATGCAGTTACTGGTAGCTGAAGAACTGGTGTGGGAAGATGTCCTTAGAGCCACTGCTGAGATGCCCACCAATGGGGATGAAAAATTCAGCAGCATGGAAGAGGTGTGGTGGGGAAAGACATTCACATGATGGCTCACATTGATAACCAGTGGATTATGTTGACATGACAGCTCATAGGTTCCTGGGGAGAAATAAGGTAATGAATACTATTCTGTGCCATTAACCTAGAACCATGTAGCACCCATTTTTCTCCTCTATAGCTATGTAATATGCAAGACTACAAATATTTTCAGAGGCCAACATCAAGCTGATGCCTAAGTCTATTGGAATAAACCCTAGTGGCTCTAAAGAAATAATCCTCAACTCACCAAGAGAGTGGTTGCTCCCACTGACATCAACCAGGTACAGGGTCACTTTTGACTGATGATGCTTCCCAGGGGACAGACCATCAGATGCCAAGAAAAGGAAAATTGCCTCCGCAACTCCTGGTCTATCGAAACACACCTGGGCATAAGCACATACAGTATGAGCAATTGTTTCCATAGGATATTAAGGTGTGAGTCCATCTTATCTCTATCATCCTAGAGCAGTTCTGTGAAAGTAAGAATTTTGTTCTCCTTTACAATGGGAAATGTGGAGCAAGCACAGCAACATCTGAGGTGACAGCAAACATCAAAGTAAGGTGGCTGGGAGGAAGAAGATCATGGGTAGCTGATGAGCATCCTCCTCGAAACTGTGTAGTACAAGGGTTTTAGTCATTACAACTTGTTTCTGTTTGCTTGTTAGTTTTTTGAGGCAACTTCTAATGTAGATCAGGCCACACACAAATTCACTATTTGCTTGAGGATGATATTGAACTCCTGGTTGTCCTGTCTCTATACTTCCAGCACTAGGATTACAAACACGAAATACCAGGCCTGGCTTGGAGCTATCTTTTTAAATTTCTCAAGAGAGCATTGGTAGAGGCAGTAATTCTCTGCATACTAATATCCCTTCTACATTCAAGTGAAAGGAGTTGACGAGATGTTCAATGAACCAACATCACTAAACAAGCTAATTTCTTTTGATCTGTTCCAAGATGAGACTAGGTATTCGAAGTTATCCTCACTGTAGTCTCCCTTCCTGCCTCCTACCTCCTTTCTCAGTTTCTCTCTTTAACCAGGCAAACTATGACATTGGCAAAGAGGCTATGGTGGTTAGAATGAGAATGGCATGCATGCATATATATGCTGACATATATGCATATATATGTATGTGTCAGATTCTATAATAGCATCTTAGTTATGGTTTCATCTCTCTCTCTCTCTCTCTCTCTCTCTCTCTCTCTCTCTCTCTGTGTGTGTGTGTGTACAGTCTGCTCAGTCTATGTAATGTTACTTGTATGTACATCTTCAGGGATGACCATTGTGGCTTTTTCTTGGGTTCTAAGTATGGTGTGGTTCAGTATAGAACATAGTGCATCTAATTGGCAGGGACCACCTCTAGAATGGGGAAAGGACTAAAAACATGCTTTCAATTTTAACAAAAATTCTTTTTTGTTCACAGACTCGGGTTTCCTGAGTCCTGGCAGCATGTTCATAGTGTTCACTAGCACTGCTGCCCTAATTAGAGTGGTTTTATGATTTTCAGTGGTCAAGGGAACACAGCTCTCCCTGCGTCCTTTCCACCTTTGCGAGAAATTCCAGCCACACTCTCTTTACACAGTGTCTCCTCTACTTTCCTTTCATTTCCCTTCTTTGGAGTAATAAATACTTATTCATAACTTCAAAAACATCCAGTCACATAGGTTACAGCTTCTAAATGAAAATGAAGTCTTCTATCCCTGGATGGCCAAGGGCGAGACTTAAAATCATCCCAAGGAAACCAAAGGTCTAGCTCAAAGCACTTGACCCCAGTAGCAAATGACATCAAAGCCCCTTGGGTCCTACCCATAGCATCTTCCTTTCCACGTACCACAACAGAGATCTGAGGCTGGAAGGCAGCTCATTTCCAGAGCCACAAACAAGAAGCCCTCAGAACCCAAGAGTGAGGAGGCTTCAGCAAAATACAGTGCATCTCAGTCTTCCATCCATCCCAAACTAGGTAGTGGAGGTAGGATTTATGGTGGGTGTGGGCTTTTCTGTCCTGAGGGCCCATACCCAAACCTTCTAATGAAGTTTGCATCACTTAACAACATAGACTTCTGTTCTGTGGCAGTTGGAATAACAAAGCACTGTGAAAATTCAAGCCTGTTCTGAGGGCAGTGCCTCTGTAGGGAGAACGTACAGAGGAACTTCCAGGCCACAGCTTAAGCAAAGAACCACAGATGAGACTTCTAAGAGGCACACAAGCAGAGAATTGTTAGGTTACACAAGCAGAGAGACAAGATTTGGTCAGTTCATGGGTGGCTATGTCTTGGGCATTTCCCATCATAGAGACACAGGAAAGACAGATGAGCTTAATTCTCAAATGGAGCCCGAGTATGTCTCACAGGAGCAGCTAGAAGCATAAAAAGCATGTTTTTATCTCACAACTATTTGCACCTCAATAGCAGAGATCAGTATGAATCTCCATATATGTGAATTATCAGCCTGAGTTCAGGTAAGGAGAAATTAAGGTTCACTGGAGAGAGACAGAGTCAGAGAACCTAGGAGATCCCCTGCATTTGCCTGTTAGACATGTCCTTGCTGTCTATATAACATAAGCAATCTACTTCTGAAGTCTAAAGCTGGGGTTCCTCCTTCCCACAGCCAGTAATAGAGATATCACTTATATCACATGGATACAAGGTAGATTAAGTAAAATTAAGCAAAAGCAGACAAGATAACACCTATGAATATAAAGGATTTCATGTTCATCTATTATTATTTTCCCCCCAAAAAACTACAGCTTATCCAATTTGTACAAAAGGAATGAAAACAGAAGGAATAAAATTTTGAAAATACATATATATATGTATATATATTTATTTAGTATACAGAAAATTATGTTCTTCTAAAATTAAAACTCTAAAAATATTCCATTTGCTTGTATAAATTGACTTGTAGAAATTTGAATTAGTTCTCCATGTTTGGGTTCTATAGGAGCTGTCAATATTTGAGTTCTTGATAGATTCTGCATAGATCACATGACATATGCAAGCACCATAAAACTAATTGAACTTGGCTCTTATAAGAATGAAATTCCAGGAAGAATCCAACATCGTTCAGAAATACAAGCAACTCTGAAGTCTAAAGAACACTTTCAATGTTGAAGATTATCAAAAGTATTTGTGACAAAGAACACTGAAACAGAGAAAACAAAGCAGGTGGACCATATAGCAGATACACAGGGGATATGATGACAGATAAGCGAGAAGATAGATGATCCATGAATTAAATAGATGGGTTATGAATAGTGAAAACAGAGATGGTAGAACAAGACACAGAGAGACTGAGGTTTAGGACAGATATAGGCAGATGTGATGAGTGGGAGGGACAGACAGAAACAGAGGAAGATGGAGAGACAGCATAGCTGCTTTTTACTCAATGCCTGTATATGAACTCCCAAATTTAACCCCAATTGCTGACCACTGAAGAAGAATTAAGATTGAGAGACACCATCTCTAATGAGAATTGTAGAACCAATCTCCAGACTGACTCCAGGGCATGGGTGCAATATACACCTGAACCAAATGTTTCAACACACAGGACACCCTTTGTAGTGGTCACTGGACAGTAGACCCTGAAACTATATCACAGACCTAAAAAGAGTCAGGTTTAAATGCTTCTGGTAAATTCCTGGCTACCCCAAACCCACCATTTCATCTTCAGTTATCTATGACACTTCTCCAGATGGAAAATGGATGCCTTGGGTCAGAAGAATACAGGTAGGCACTGCCAGCTATTTGCACAGCATGAGGACATGTTTTCCTAGAGTTCTCCCCAAATTCAGCAGGCTTTTATTCCTACAGACTTTTAATATGGTAACCTCAGTATATAAAGGATTGATTATGGATTGGAAGCAAGGGTTTGCTCAAGTAAATATTACACAGGAGGATGGTGGCTTTCCCAATTTTCCTTTCTATATTATGTTAGAGGCTTACATATTTGTAATTTTAAATAAGCAGAACATTATAGATTCTCCCCCAAATGTGTTAGTCTTTGGGACTCCCTCTCCACTTATGCAGTCAAATGAACACAAAAACATCAAAGAGCATCTTTCAACTCTACTTGCAATTTAACAAGGCCCACCCAAACTGAATACTATTATTTTGCTATTAGCTAAACTACATGCACTTTTGTAGGTGAAAAAATTATCAAGTGTTCATGACTTCAGGGGAATCCATCTAGTAAATTTGTCATCTGAAGCTTTGACAAGGCAGAGATTAGCTCCAAACAGTCTATAGCTAATAGAGGAAGGGAGCTTGTGGTAACAAAACTCTGGGCAGTGAGTTTTCCAGACTATATCCAGATTTAGAATGTCACTCAAAATGAAGATAGGACTTTTGAGCCTGTTAGACTCCCTTCTCATGTCTAAGCTCCTGTTGCTATTTATCAGAATCTAGACAGTGTCATGCTTTATTCCTCTATGATACTATAAAGACTATAACCACTGAGAATTTATGTGATGCCTCTTCTATAAGGGTCAAAGCAACTTATCATTATGTGTAATTGCTCTTATGGCTCCCACAATTCATGGTTAGACTTTCAAAGATGTAATCATTGGTGAGTGAGTTAGTGGAAGAAACAAGGATCTACTCAGATGACCAGGGCAATTCCACCTAGATCATTTCTCCTCAGGTTCATTTTAGACAAGGCCATATCTGCGAAGACTCTGCTGAACAAGTTTATGAGACTTCAAATGAAGAGCAGGAAGAGACAGAAGAACCATATCTATAGTGATTGCTGCTGTGGTGTGTCTCTCACACCACCTCTTTTGTGACTGGGATATAGATAGAAATAGTCCTCATAGAATCCAAGTAGAGATTATCCCCTTGGAAACTGGAATAAGAGAAAGAATGGGAGCATGCCCAGTTCGGCAAGTGTCCATTTTTCATTGGAAACAATGGATGTCCCAGATACAGAGCTTAGAATTTGTGAAGCTGCCCTGCTTGCGACAAGCAAATGTTTTCAAATAAAATCAGTTGAATTCTAGATTGGTAACAATCAAATAGGAAAGGGGAAATAAAGCTGTGCTCTCTAGAGACAAATTGGAAGGTGGAACTTCCCATTTAGTGCATGAGGTTAATTTTTGAAGGAAATGAGAACAATATACACATAAGTAACCTCTGTTCTTTCAGGATTCCTAAGGCATTATACCTGTAGCAACTGAACATTTTCTTCTGAAGATAATTACTGTTTATAAATTTCCATTATGCATAAAAAATAATCCTAGTGCATTTCACAAAACTGTCCCGTTAAGCATAAAATTCTGTTAACAAGTTTCTACCTGATGAATTGGAGGTAGATTTGAGTCATTTAGAGCATCAGCTTTTCCTATCAATGTTGAGATAATAATCATCTGTAGTAGTGATTTTCAAACTT